AAACAATAGCGGATAGTTGGCGCAAATAACCTACCCAACAAGCCAATAGAAAATCGCTCCGTCCGCACTGCCACTAGCGAAGACACTTTCATGTTGTGGATGCCATGCCAGGCGCATTACATCTTTTTTGTGACCACGGAAGGTTTGAAGTTCACTTTTAAGGCAGCGAATGTCGAAAAGTTTGATAAGATGATCACGAGATGCAGTAAGGAACCAGTTTCCATTTTGATTCCATGCCACATCCGTGCAAGTATTTTTGTGGACATACCTATAACAGGATGAGATTAATAACATTGAAAGGAAAATTTAACGTAGATAGTAACGCTTCAAAAATGCTTACAATGTAGTAATTGATTCACCGGTTTTTGGTTCCCATAACTTGATCGGCTGCTGAGCATCTTTACTCCCAGAGATTATCAGGGACATATAAGGATGCCAAGCGACACTACGTACGTCAGAGCCGTGGCCTGAAAAAAATCAACAATATTCAAATAGTGAGTTTCGGTATAACAAGTAAAACTTGAATAATAATATTCATCCTAGATCCCATAAGGTGATGAAGATATGAGTAGGATTTTGCCACGGCCTTAATAAAATATACCATTGAATTTCACATAGCTTCGCTAATCTAGGTTTGAATGTAGCTTCGACTTCACATAGGCCTCATAAGCACATCCAAAAGGGATCTAATCTGGGTAGAGCAGCCTTTATTCTCGACGTGCTTCCGGTGTCAGCGCTCTCATGGGTGCCAATGGGCGAGTTTCAAGGAAAGCCAGACCTCTCCTATGCAGTGTAATGGTTCGTGTTCCATTGGGGGCGCTAGGCAAGGTCGAAACTGCAGTCCAGCCAAAATAAGAATAAATTTTGGGAGGAAAGGCTGGGTGAAATTCAATGGAAATGCGGGGTCTACTCATATCATTGTGGGAAAATTCAACTATCAATCCTTAATCACCTTAAACGAAATAGGGTGAATATATTTCATGCATCCTACAAATATTCCGCATTTTCACGGGTTTCATTGGGCACGTGAGTTTCAAAGCAAGCCAGGCCTCTCTTGTGCTACAATCGTGCTGGGGATGTCGACGAGGCAAACTTGTATTTGCCATTACAATCGAATAGGTTTCGATAATAACACTAGATCTAGAATAATAACAGTATCAATTATGTTGTATAGGGTGATGAAGATCTAACAAAGAAGTTTCTCAAACCTTGAGTACTATTCATATCATTGTGTACAAATTCGACTAGCAGACCTTCATCGTCATATGCGACTTATAGTTAATTGTTTGTATTAGAGAAATTAAACGTTATAGGCAGAAATGTGAAATCAATAAGGGATACGGTGGCTATTTCTCAATCGTGCTGTCAATCCCAAACCACTTGGTGAAAAAATGTATTGCAGCCTGATTATTTAAAGTTAGTAGATGCTTTAGAGTTCAAACAACAGACCAACTGCGAGCCGAAAAATATGTATGCAAATATGGCCGAATCCCATTGTAGCTATCTCAAAAATGAGCATGAAGTTAATATTGAAATCAGACTGTTTTGCAATTATCTCTGTCTGAGAAGTTGTTTGACCTTGTTTTCGCAACTCGGTCATAATGCTAGGAAGACTTAAAGAAACGCACCTTGTCCTGAGTCCATTGTATGCATAATTATTTCCAAAGTCGGACCGTGGACGTGGTACACCCAAGACGTTTCGCCGGCATCGTCAATGAGTTTTACCATTCGTAGCATTATATTACAACTCGTCAAAGAGACAGACGTTTCGCCGGCATCGTCAGTGAGTCTCGCCATTCGCAGCACCATATTACAACTAGTCAAAGAGACAAGTGCAGACGTTTCGCCGGCATCGTCAGTGAGTTTTACCATTCGTAGCACTATATTACAACTCGTCAAAGAGACAAGTGAAGCCGATCGTTCGACCAAACGTGTGCTAAACAGTTATGATATCTCCCGTTCTGCCCTGGCCTATCACATTACCTATAACCGCAAACAATTATGATATCTCCCCTTCTGCCATGGGCTATTCACATTTCCTATATCCTCCAATCACGCCTTCATTGTCACAATATTTTACTTGCTTAACTAAATGTGGTCGGTGTGCCCTTTTTTTAGCGGTTTCATGAGAACCCTCTGCACTCCACGCTGGCCTTCTCACCACCCTTCATCATTGTGCTGGGACTGTTGATCGGAGTCTGCCATATTGTTACGCAGTCCTCTATCCTTAGGTCTCACCCCAGTCTCTCTCTTGCCCCGTAAGATCCGTCTGCCCTATCTCTGGTTCACATATTTAACTCGACCCCTGCCACCACATCTGTGCCAACTTGAGGCGCTATTGGCTCTACCCTGCGTCTGAGTGACTACTTTGAGGCTTAAGCCTCTGAGTAAGTGTCATGGTCAGGCCTTTGCCACATGGACCACGTCTTTTAGAAAAAAC